TTGCTGTATAAAGCCATTTATGCTTTAATGCTGTTCTCTTCCGATTTCAGAAGTAGCCTATTTCTGTCATTATGGGCAAGAGTGAACAGGTGACCTAGACAGTCTTCACCAAAGCCAGGCATTTTTCACCATTTTTAACTTTCAGTCCCACATAACATGAAAGCATAAGTACCAAATTAATAAAACCCCAGGTATTTTGCTGTGATATTTCTGCTATGGCAGGAACACAGACTTTTCAGAGAATCTAATATTAGTTTTTTCCTATAAGATGCCTTTGGTTTTGCCACTTCAACTCAGTGAAATACCAGAGTGATTTACTCTGCTTTCTGTGCTCTCATCATGGAAATGCAAATTACTGCACAGCAGGCCAGACATTAGAGAAAGTAGGTGCTCTGGTACAAGGCTTCCAGCCTGAGTTCTAGCCTGAGGAGTTGGACAAGCAGCCAAATCTCTGCATCCTTTGAAGTTCATTCTGAATGTAGAGAGTTCTGAATTCAGAAAAGGTCATTCTGGATGAGTTTCTCATAACTGAGGGACAGCCATGAATTCTGAAAACTACTTCATTAGTTACTTCAAAGTAGGGTCAACATTAGAGAGGGTTTGATTTTCACAAGAAAACCTACCATGCCTTCCCTCCCTGCACCATTTTGCTCTGTGAGTAGAGAAAACAGCATAACATGTTTGCATCCTGCAGGGCTTTGCTACCCTTCCCCATTTCTGCAGCTCTGGAATTCCTTCTCAAAGCAGCGTTCTGAGCCATATGGGAGCTACTGATGCTAATGGAGAAAGAGGGGGCTTTCTGGTGTGCTGTTGGTGAGCTTCAAAGCTTCCAAGGAGATATGTCATCTGCTGTTCCCCAGCTTTTTGCATGTAGGTGTACTTTGAAAAACTGCTAGCAATGGTTGTTGCATAGTGCTTGCACAGGTTTAGTAGATAAAATACACCCTGGTAATATGAGACAGCTGTGAGCCTCATTTTTCAAGGAGCAGATGGGTCATGAGTGACCCTATAGCTACTGAGCTAATGAATGCAAGAGAAAAGCAAACTTTCCTTCTGCACTGAGACAAACTATCAGGCTCCCATGACCTGCCTTCCTTGCCTTCTTAGTGAATTAACACCTCCTGTGCCTGACTTAAAAGGCAAGACATCAGAGCACTTTCTGCCAGTGACAATTTGCTGACAAGATGGGCTTAAACCAGAGAGATGTGATTTCCTGTGGGGGAGAATGACAGTGAAGTAGAGATGGAGGAGAGGGATGCAAAGTATTGCATGATTCCTCTACGGGTCACGTTGCTCCCATGTTGCACTTTGTCATTAGCTGAATCACTGGAGCATCCTGTCAAATCAACCTCCTGCACAGATTTTTAGAACCTCTAATTGGCACCTGCATGGCACCTGCACAGATACATGTTACCAGTGCATCTCCTTTTGCCCCGCACAGCGTTTCACAGCTGTTTCTCCCAGTTTCAAAGCACAGTCAGTAGCCCACCACGGTATGAGGCAACCCTGGCTTTAGTTGAGATCCTGTGATGTGACCCAGCGTTTGTGTAACAGAAAAGCTTTGCTTTATTCCTTTCTCTTTTAACCATTAGGCAAATGTTTCTCCATGTTTCCTGTTTATCACAGGCTCTGAACCTCCCTAGACAGGCTATTCTGAGCTTGCCCTGCTTTCTGATAATTGCATGTGCATTAAAGTAAACACCCCTGCAGGGTTTCTCCTCTCCCCTGTCCTTGCCAGCTCAGAGCTGGACAGCATTCCATGGTTTGCAAACACAGGGCTGCGCAAAAAAAAAAGACATGCCAGGGGCTGGCAAAGCTCTGGGGAAGAGGGCAAAGCTGCATGCTATTTCAAGCCTCTCTTATTTTGCCAATGAGTTCAGATATCTCTCCTTTCCTAGCGACATGATGGCTCCTATGTCCTCTTGAGCCATGCATCAGTGACATCGCTATCGAGATCTACAACCTGTGTCCAACCCGTATCAGTTACTGGCTTCTTTGTAGGCATATAAAAATTTACCAGGATGCAGGGGAGTCACCCATCGGTACTGACTGCAGCAATAGTTCTGAGAAGGTGGTCTGTTGCATATTTCTCTGAACTCTTGTTTTGCTTTAGAAGGACAAAGAGGCAGGGCACTGCTGTAAGATTTTTTGAGGATAAGCTTTATCAGACTGCTGTTTAGAGAACTGGGAATATCTAGATCCTAAAATAATACAACTGTTTGTATCTTGTGCCTCTACATAGGACAAAGTCCTGCACTACGAGAAGTACAGTAATGACATTTTTCCTTTATAAATGCCCTTTCATTGAACATCTTACTTGAGATAAGTAGATCAGTTTTGTCCTTGGTTTACAGATAGAAGAGGTAGCAGACTGGAAAGCTGACTGGCACAGACAGCACACCACTGAGCTGAACACACTGCAGTCAAATACCGCCAGGCACATCAAGACAGATGTTCTCTACATACCTGCCTTGAAATTGAGACCCCAAACTGTATTTCCTCTTAGGATTTAGTTCCCAGGAATATAAAAATATGCATAGAACCTTTTACACTCACACACGGTGGCAGAAAAACAACTTGGGTTACTTCTTTTCAGCTGGTTCCTAGAGTAAATCTGTAGGTCGTAAGTAGATACTGCCTTTCTATTCTGATTGTCTGTTACCAAACACAGCCCACACAGTGCTGCAGCTGAATTCCCTCCTCCAAGTGGTAGCCATAAGTCACGGCCTCTTCTCATGTTTTAGGACAGTAACCAAGCTGGACCCTGACTGGATGCTGCCATCCATCACTCACTTGATGTGAACTTACATTGCCACTGAACCAACCAAGAGGTTTCTCTGAAGTGAAACACCAATGCAGTTACACAGCCCGTCTGCAGGGAGTTTTATTTTTCATAGGAATACTGGGGTTGGATTATCTTTGCCACAGCTAGTGCACTGGTCACATTCCCCATGAAATACCTGTACTTCCCCATCCAAAAGGAACTTTGTTGGAGCTGCAGTTTCTGAGCAGCTGCAGTACATGTTGCTGATGGTGAATCTCAGTACTACTGGGAGAGTGTTGTGAGAGTGGGTGCTTCTTCCGTTTTGTTTTTCCTCATTTTTGAAGCAAATCCAACTTTTATCAATTATAGGGTTGAACAAGCCTTCTGCAAATATCAGTGCATATCTTGTAAGAGAGAAGAGTAACAGGTCTTTTTGAAGAGGAGGCAAAAATGGAATAAACTAGCTACCCCCTGGGTCTGTGGTGAAATAGCTGAACAGTTGAAATCTACCCAGCTTTTGTTTCCTGTTTGTGTAAGTAGCTTTCATCAGAGTGCTGGTCATGAGTAAGTTAACACCCACAGACCTGTCACCATGAAGCACTGTGTATCACTGAATTCCTAGCAGTTCTGGCAGTGCTGAACTGTGTACATACATGTTTAACTGCATTCCCCAATTCTCTGAAGGAGCTATTTTCAGAGATCCCAAGTGTGGAAGTGGAATCTCTCAGTTGACTTTTGACTCTGCAGAGAGGAATAAGTGTATTTGAAAGACTGAGATTGGCACATGTACAAATATACTTTCTTCCATCCTGGTATGTGAGGAAGGCTAAGGATGATGCAGTGCAGAAGTTGCTTTTGCTGTTTTTATGTGGCGCTGCAGAGGAAGAGAGATCTGGGGTGATAACCAGCATGCTGGGAAATCCTCCTCTGCCTGGTGCTGCAAACTACCACTTTCTAATTTCCTGCAGAGTATCTTACTGGCATTGAGGTAAAGTTGTCTATGTTCAGGCTTAGCAGAGGATGTTCTCTCAGGAAGTTAAAGGACATCAAGAACCTAAAGGTGTACTGGGGCAAGTTCCTGATTACTCATCTGATCCCTGCAGAGACACATTAAGGGATGGCTTTGTAGTTTGTTCATGGTTTGTTTGTCAGTATAGCAGCTCTGGGACAATCAGTTATTTAAAGGACTGAAAAAAAATACTACCTGGTTGTCCTTGTTTGCTTCTTTAGGTCTTTTTCCTGCCTTTGTGGATTCCTTGAAATTCAGCATGCCCGACTGTGCAATGCTTTCACTGCATCTTGTTGCACTGTTGCATCTTGTTCACATACCCAGAGTCTCCACAGTGCTACATTAACTCCCTTAAATTTAGCCCAGGTCAAATCAGAGCAGTTACAGTGTGGTTTCGAGCAGCAGAGCAATTTTGCTAACAGCTGAGGAATTGCACTGACTCCATCTCTAATGAATACGCTTAGTGGTCATGATAGGAATTTTGGGTGAGAACAGGGCTTGCACTAATTACAGGGACTTAGTCACAACTTGTTAACTCAGCACTGAAAACATGCTCTTGGAAGTAGCCACACTTGAGCAGACTGGGAATTGAGGGAAAGCACAGTCTTGAACTTAAGGCTCTGAATACTGCATCTCCAGTAATCTGGTTTAATTTCTTGTTCTGCCTTGTACTTCTTATGTCACTTCTTATATTTCTTTCCCTTTCTGCGCCTCAGTTCTGGAGCTATAAAATCACACTGCTGTTTATCTTTTCCCCTACATGCATGGCAAGTTCTTCAGGAGGGGGATTTTCTAACATTAATTGAGTATGCAGTTTGTAGAGCAGCCACACCTGTGGCTGTGGGAGGTCAGGAGAGCCCTCTGTGACACCTTAGAGTTTCTGTACTTTGAGAATATGTCATTGCCTTTGGATTGTGAGGCAGGAGCAGCCTTGAATGCTCATGTAACTCCCACAGCTAATTTTCTTTGGTAGATTTGAGACTTTTCTTTCAACCTTGAAATTTTGCTGGTTTTCAGTTCTGCAGGGCAGGGAGTGCTGAGGCTGAATAAATTGAATTTTTCTTAAATTATGTAAGTGCTAAATAAGATACATTGTTACAATTTTCCGTATCCTCTGCATATGAGGAGGAGTGGAAAATGGATAAATGGGAAGAAAATGTGTGACAATACCTAATGTATTCTAAGACCAAGCTTCTAATCTTCTCTGTTTCTTTTTGTTTCTTCCAGGTGGAGCGGGAAATAGCCATCCTGAAGTTGATAGAACATCCCCATGTTTTAAAGCTGCATGATGTTTACGAAAATAAAAAATATTTGTAGGTATTACTGGCTTTTGCCAGAGGAAGGGGAATGGAAGGAGGAAGGGAGGGAGATCAGGGTTTTGGAACTTGGTAACGTTTCTGAAAGAATGGAACAGTTGTGTTTTCACCCTTTGCTGGTGTCTGTGTGATATTTGGTATTTGGATGAGGAATGAACACTTATTAGTTCCCTGGCTTTTCTCATGTTCTTTCCTGTACTTTCATGGAATCATTAAGGAAAATTTATCATTGTCCAACCAGTAACCTACTGCTGCCATATCCACCACTAAATCATGCCAAGTGCCACATCCACATGTTTTTTGAACACTTCCAGGAATGATGATTCCCCTACTTCCCTGGACGGTCTGTTTCAATGCCTGACCACCCTTTCAGTGAAGAAATTGTTCCTAATATCCAATCCAAACCTTATTTGTGTGATTTAAGGCCATTTCCTCTCACCCTGTCACTTTTTAACTGGGACAGGAGACTGACCCCCACCTGGCTACAGCCTCCATTCAGCAAGTTGTGAGAGTGGTGAGATCCCCTCGAGTTTGCTTTTCTCCAGGCCAAACATAGCGACTCCTTCAGCCACTCCTCACAGGACTTGTGCCCTAGACCCTTCATTGTCCTTCCCTGGACATTCTCCAGCACCTCAATATCTTTCCTGGGGTGAGCCTTTACTTATAAGAAATTTATATGCTGTTTCTTTTCCTACTTAAAATAGAAGAAAGGGGACAAACCAATGTTTTCTCTAACACAGCAAGAGAGAATAAAGGCTTGTACATGTAAGATCTGGAACCATTTTGAATCAAAGCTGTAACAGACTTAGACAGTAGATAATTTGGATAACCTCCTTTGTCTAACAGTTTTCATTGAAACCCTCAGCTCTCACTAGAAGTGTTTTAAATTTTCTCCATCAGCAACAGATTTTGGTTTTAAAAGCCACTGTAATCCCATAATGGTTCTGCAGTGACAGTTATGTAGCAAAGCTTTTTTTAAGATTTTTTTTTTCTACAGATCATTACCAGTGCCATATAGAGATGTTGTTCACAGACAAACACTTTAGCTTGATTTAAGGCACTAAATACATCGTATCTGTTGTCAGACAAACAGGCCACATTAATCATGACACGACAGGACAAAAATCAATGTTCTCCAAATAGAAAGGGGTGACCCAGTAGGGAACTCTGCTATATCCAGCTTTTTAACAGGTTGTTACAGGTAGAAGAGAGTGGTTAAAAAAGATTAAACAGTTTTTAAAAGTCACCATCCACTGGTGACCTCTTTTTAGTGTCTCAACACAAGAAGGGAATGACTGTTTATCCAAAGAAAGTGTGTTGAAGGGAGATAACAGTCCCTCATGGACTATTCGTCCAGTCTTGTTACTGGAGCAATGAATTCCTATTCTGAGAAGTGAGGCCTCTCGGCCTAAGGGTTAGCTTAGTAGAGCAGGCAGTAATTTCCTTTGGCTTCCCCCTCCTCCTTTGGGGCAGAGCCTGATATCCATGGTGGAATGCAGTTGCCAGAAAGAACTGGGTGGAGACTGGCTCAGATGTTTCCAGAGTTGAATGCTCTGTCCTCAGTGGCATAAATGGTCATGGCTCCATGAAGCCCTGTTTGCTGCAGATGAGGACAGAGGCCCAGATCTGCTCTGTGTGCAGACAGGCAGCAAAGGGAAATCAGGCTTTGCAGGGAGTCTGTTCTCCTTTAATCCTGGAAAGAGAGGCAGAGGATATTTTTTCTGTATTCAGGTGAAAGGGGGAATGAGACCACTTTTTTGATTAAAAGAGAGGGAATGTTCTTCTTCACAATGTTGGTTTCTGTGTTGTGTAACCCTAGGTGTGCACACACAAGTACTCTTGCACAAACAGAGCAAATGGTGGCAGTGGTGACAATGTATGAATACACACAGAAGAAAGGCCATGAGGGGATGGGCTGTAGAAGTGCTGAAGTTTTCTTCTTGTTCTGAATGCCTGTGAAGCCAGAAGCTGAGCTTTTCTTCTTTACTCCAGAAGACCTGGGGGCTATTTTGTTCCTTGGAAAAAATATCTGGTGCTCAGAGCAGTGGGAATGGTGTTACACTATTATTAAAAAAAATACTGAATTTATTGTCAGGAAAGCATCTTCATGATGAAAATCACCTTGTAAAGGAAAGCATCCCATATCTTTAAGCTATGTCTGGATATTCTGGCTTCTAAAAAATGTTAGGCTCCAAAGCATGCTTTGCCAATGACCATTTAGCCTTTAACAATCACTAAGTCTGCTTTGTGCTGTAGTTTCTCTGCCTGTAAGATTAAGCTGTCTGCATCCCCCTGCAAAGGCACCAAATCCCTCTGCTGAAAGATACTGACACTGAAAGAACAAATGACTGTTAATTAAGTTTCATTTTTTATAAGTCGCTATTTTAAAGAAAGGGCACAATGCAGAGCTTCTGCCAAGCCTCCGTGTTCAAAATTAGAAACAGCTGTGGCCTTTGATAAATCTGAGAGGTGGGAGAGAGTGCCTGTGGAGGGTGAGGTGTTGCAAGTGTGTGGGGGCTGAGAACTGTGTTTGCATGTACCTTCCCAAATAATAAGACACAGTGACCTCTGGTTCTCACCAGCATCAGGAAAGGGATTGCTCTCTAGTTGTGGCAGCACCTTTCCATCATGCATGCCATCCCAGCTCTAGCAGCAGTGGCATGGTTTCAGAGAAGCTCATGAATTATGGGTGATATTTCAGAAGCCAGAGACTAATCACAATGCAGCACTGGGGAGCATTTCCTCAATAACTGTTAATTTCACAAATCATGTTTGACTTTTAGTTTATGATTTAATTTGTGACAAGGGGCTTTGATTGAGTAGATTCCTAATGCAACCATGAATCAAATCCTTTTTCCACAGTTTATTTAACAGTGAGAATGATTTTTTAAAAATAATAATAAAAATCTGTTAGCATATGCATGTTAGCCAAGCAGTCTTTTTCTGTTTATTTTGGTAGGTTCTTTTTTGCCAAGATAGTTGGAGGTAGCTATGAAATCCATTATTCCATCTCTTTATCCATCATTTTGAGTTGTCTTATTTAGTAAGACTGTGGACTACACATCTAGGTGTGTGAGGGGGAAACAGAGGGCACTGTGGCTCTCTGTAAGTGACATACGGCCTCAGATATATATTGTGTTGGCTAAACGAGCAATATACTGACAGCTGAATTATTTCATATTTGTTATATGATCACACTGATGGCCTTCAAGCAAGATTGGGAGTCCACAGTAACAGATAATTTAGAAATAGCTACAGACAATCAATGCCTCCATCTCTCGCATTGTATAATGTCAATAGACAAAACAGCCGGGATGGGGGTTCATCCTCCCTTTCTTAAAGTTCAAAATGAATCAAAGTGGCCTGGTATGGGGAATGATCAGTGGGCTACCAAAACTTGTGTGTGCACCAGTCAGTTTGACTAAGGAAGTGCAGACAGTCAAGAATTTTAGGGAAATACAAATCATAGAATCATCACAGAATGGATTGGGTTGGAAGGGTCCTTAAACATCATTCAGTTCCACCCCTCCCTTGCCATGGACAGGGAACCTTTTGATTAGACCAGGTTGCTCAGAGCCTCACCCAAGCTGATGTTGAGCACTTCCATGATGGGACATGTACTAAGAGAAGGAGTAAGGCAGTAACAGATAATAACAAAAATTTGATGTGTTTTGTAATACACACTGGAGGGACACACTCCTTTGGTGATTTCTGCATTGCAGATGAACATTGTGAACCTGGGGGATGATCCTCTTTTCTCTGCGTCCTGTATAGAAAAGGTCTTTCCTGAGCTGACCCTACGCAGAGTTTTATGTACTGTGTTTTATGCAGTACATTCAGCTTTTCTTTGGATCACAGAAAAGCACTTGTCCCCTGTTGGAGGAGCTGTTAGCATGGCAAGCTAAGGGCCATCAGACAGTCCACAGGAGATGGAACTTCCCTCTCCAGAGGGGGTTAAGCCAACTGATACAGTTCTGTTGCAGAACTCCCAACAGGGGTGGCATTATCTGTTTTGATCTCATTTGATTAACTATTTAGTTTCAGCTGTCAGGGGCTTGGTGGGGAGTGGAAATTAAACAGAAAAAAACCCCGCATACTACACCACTCATGCCTTTTTCTTTCAGGTGGTAATACTGGTATTTCTCGATTCCCTTTCCATTGATATCTGTGTATATATATCTGTAAATTTCTATATCAAGATGCATACAGATATTTGTGTATATATGTGTGGATTTACGTTGAATGATTTTCAAATCTTCACATTTAATATTTCAAATTTTGTGGCAGCATTTATTTTACATCTCTCTGTCCTCCAATTTGATCAGCATTTTCAGCAAGAATCTGTTTTGAGAGGAGTGGACACTAGACAATTGTTCTCTGAAGTGTGCCATGCATTCCTCAGCACCTTTTTCAAATATAAGTGCCTTTCTCATCTTTCATTAGTACAGTGCTATCACTGGGCAAGTGCCCAAATCTCATTTCAATGTACTCAACACACCACCTCCTGATTTCAGAGATAAAGGTGCATCACAATGAGGCAGATAAAATTAAAATGTCCTCCTAGCTGTGCACAACTCGTGTTTCTGGCTCATAGAAAACCAGGTGACAGCAGGAGTCAAGGACTTACAGTTCTGCTGGTGTCTGCAGAGGCCTTTGTGCTGCCTGGCCTCTCCTGGAGTTTTCCTGTAATTCTGTTTATTTTTGTTGAAAACTAATTGGGAGGTGCCAGAGGATGCAGAAAAGAGGAAAAAAACATTCTGTGTGTTCTTGTTAGTGGTAGGCCAAAACTTTGGCGTTCAATTCATCTGCAGGGAAACCTGTCTAAAGGCAGAGAGAGAGTTCAGAAAGTCAGAGTGGCTCCAAAGGCTCAGCACTGAAAATTAATTTTGTGGTAGGTGTGCACCTTGGTAGTGAGGCTGTGGGATGTCAGGTGCTGTGATACGGGGAAAGAAAATAGGATTGGAGGGCAGAATAGCATTCTACCTGAGCCTTGATTA